CTTTATTAAAGAAACAGTTTATATTAGGAAAGAGAAAAAAACCAAACTGTATGTTTTAAATATCCTCTATCAGAAGAAAATGGTCTAAACCTTGTAGACACCAAGATTTTTCCCCCATTAAATTCATTGGTACATTTAAAGCAAACAACACAGTTACATTTGTCATTGGGATCTTGTACCTTTACATGATATGTCTTGGTTCTTATTTTTTCCCCATACCCCTGCCCTCCAAAACAAGCTTTTAAAGAAAACAAAAAGAAATCAATCACAGTTGAGCCCAATGAGCGTTTCAGGCACTCCCTAAGCTGTTTCTTAAATTGTGATGACATGCTAGATAAATTAACATAGAATAAAAGAGAAACCTTTTAAGAATATTGGTTTTATGTCTAATTCTGTAGCTACACATACTGTTTGAATAGTAATCAGTGCTTCTGAAATTAAGATCCATTTTCAATTTTAGAAATAATTATATAATAACACATAGCTGTCGGTACTTATAAAATGCCTTATTATTTAGTTGCCGTAACATCATAGAAAAGTGTTGTATCCTTGATATTTGGCTGGACTCTTTAAGGGGAAGGGGTTAATAGTTTTGAGTTATTTCCTGAGTTAATTCTTCAAAAGGATGAACTACACTCGATGGCAAGTCTTTCCTACCAGGCTTCATCCAAAGTAATTTGTTTGAAAATTGCTCACAGGGACAGGGCTGTGGGGCACTGTTTTAATAACTGGGTGTGTAATTTGTGCCATCGCGTCCATATATCATCGTTTCATTGAGCACATGATTATGAAGTCAACTTTGACAGCCAAGCTGTACTACAGCTGAAGCAGATACAGGCATGGTGCTGATCTACTCCGGCTTTTGGCATGCTGGCTCTGTATAAATAATATGTTGCCCACACTAACAATGTTGGTGTCTCGCTGCTGTTCGCATCACAGACATTCAAACTGGGCATCTGACTTTTTAGCTGACTCTACCATTAGAATCTCTTTAATAAATGCCCGTGGTTTCACACTTGATTGACTTGGACAAATATGTTCTTCTCAATATCAACCCAACCACAAGCTACATTACGTTTTTTTTTTTTTTTTAGATGCAGTTGTTGAAAATGTTAACACTACTAAAGATACAAAATAATGGAGGTATTGAATTAGGATCCAAATGTGGCACCTTACATCCCCGTTTAAACTATGTGTTTAGAAAGGAAAGGGTGAGACTGGAAATGTGAATTCCCAGTTAGTTGACACGGCAACAGTCTGTGTCTGTTTCTTTCCCCGCTGAGCCTTTCATCACGGTGCCGCGGTCATGTTTGGCTGCGCTGACCTCTCCTCCTCTTATACATTCACAGGAAGTTAATGAACATCCCCACTGTGTGTAACGTGAGGAGACCAAGGGGAAAATTGCTTAGCTACATGGACATAGACAAACATAGACAAAGCCCATTTATATTTGGGCTTTGAAACTCTTAGTTGGGTTTAATTTACAAATAATCTTCTTGGCATCCAGTCTGTATTTAATTTTTTGTTCCAAATGTAATGTGAAAGTGATTGGTGGCTAGGGAATGATTCTCAAAGGTGGACGAGAAACCATGGAAGGGAAGAAACACAGGGCCTATTAATCCAGCAGTCAAATAATTGACCTGTGAGTAACTAAAAGTTGGCTGCAGATGTGGAAACAAGACTGCCCCCTTGTGATGGAGCCCAAGTCTCCTTTGTAGTTTTGGATGCAAGACAGAGAGCCAAGTGCTCTTTGGGAGCCGCTTCTAAGTTTGGCACCCGTAATGTGACAAGTCATTGCCTCAGTGCCCTCAAATGGCACAAGGCCCCCTGTAGATTGGAGTTCGAGTTCTAGCTGTGGAAGGAAGCGGTTCTCCACCGGTTCCTACCTCCAGCCATTTCCATATCAACACACTTCCTTGATAACATTCCCAGAAGGAAGGGCAACTTAAGAGAGCTCTTCTTCTACTTCTGTGTTGCCTTCTGCTCAACATTCACACAGCCCATTTTTAAATGAGGTTCTCTATGCATGTAAATCAGTTATAGAATGACCTAGATATTTCTTCTTGGCCAAGTCGAGTTTTAAACCATGAATTTGTGAAACAAACCCTATTGCCTGCTGTGGCTTTGTGATGAACTGTGGATTTTCCATAAATCCTTTAGTAAGGACCAGTCAGTGTGAAAACACCATTTTCATCCCTGTCATGATGAGGGTACAACACCCAATCCCATGGGGGCCTGACTGAGGTGCAACAGAGCCCTGTTCAAAATGTACCTTCGTAGATAATATACAGATACTATGAGAGAGGGGAAAGGGAAAGTGAGGGAAACGATCGGAAGAAAAAACAGGAGGAGAGGGTGAGGAGGGGGGGCAGAGAGTCCAAGAGAGAGTGTGCTTCACATACATATTAGGTTGGAAATCATTGCCTACCCTAACTCCCTTAGGGAGATTTTCAAACACACTTGCTTATTCCAAAGAGCAGAGCTGTGCTGCAGTAATGCATCTGTTCAGCTTTGTTTATGCCGCTTTTGCAGAAGTTATTTTTTTTCTTTTATTGAGGTACATTTTAGGTATACAGTACAATTATGTTCATTATTGGGATCTTGTACCTTTACATAATAGGTCTTGGTTCTCATTTTTTTCCCCTAAAGTAAGAAAAGAGTTATTATTTTTTTTCTCATTGAGTTTATTGGTACATTTTATGTATACAGTACAATTGCATTTATTATTGGGATCTTGTACTTTTACATGACAGATCTTGGTTCGCATTTTTTTCCCCTTGTCCCTGCCCTCCCTTCACCCCCTCCTCCTGTCCCCATTTACAAACTCTTTATTTCCATTTTTCATTTTCTCATATTTTTTTCTTTTCCCTTATTACCTTTCCCCTACCCTTCCCACTTTCCCTACACCTTTAGCCCCTTTCCTCCTATTTCACACTGTCAATTATCTCACTAGGATCTTGTACTTTTATAGTTTTTCACAACAGAGAAACTATTCAGTATTTACACATGTGTGACTTATTTATTTCACTTAGGAATATATCCTCAATATGTATCCATTTTCCTATGAATGAATCTAATTTCTCATTCTTTGTGGCTGAATAGTATTCCATTTTGTAGAAAAACCACATCTTTATCCAGTTTCCAACTGATGGGCAGATGGGCTGTTTCCAAGTTTTAGCTATTACAAACTGTGCCGCTATAAACATGGGTGTGCATACATCACTGTGGTAATTCTTTTGGAAAGATACCCAGCAGAGGGAAGTTTTGACCATGGGACTCTTTGAAAATATTGCTTAAAATTTTTCATTTTTCTTTCTTGCAAGGGCTAAGAAACAAATACCAGGCGATTGCTTTTCTGTAGGGATTGCATCTAGGGGTCAGTCATTTACTTAAAACAGTCCAATTCTGTGCTGCTGAACCCTTCAGTTTTAGGCTCTGGAAGGACACAATTTCTTCCAAGGAAGTCATGCCCAGAAAGTCAAAGTACGACCAGTTTATTTGGTAAACATAAAATTAAGGCAAGAGAAATTGACTGCATCTTCTGGGTAGCCTTCCACATCCATTAGCCATGACTTTCTACCTGTGTCTCCCCTGAAGAAAAGTGACTACATGTGGTTGATCCTAAGATAAAGCTAGTGATATGTTCCTTCCATTTTACCTCTAAACTTATTTTTCAAGAAAATAATAGGTACATATAATTTTATAAAGGAAAATACTAAAAGCATCTGTCCCTTTCCCCACCTTTTACTTTCTACCAGGTGAGCTGCATCTCACACAAGACGACTTCAACATCTTTGGGTGTCTGTGTAGTCACCTCTTCATTATATACCCATGTAGACAGTCCGTGCTCCTTATCTATTGACAACTCTTTATTCTTGATCACTGTTTTATGTATTTTATTTTCTTTCACACTTCAGGGTTCCATCACAGGAAACAGAATCATGTAGGAAATTAAGAATTTAGAAAAGCCTTGGAAGACCAGAAGAGCAGACCCTCACCTGGAATTCCAGGCATGACTACTAGAATGAGATAAAAATAATGGGAGCCTTGTTATGGAGCCATAATTTATTAAACAATTCGGTTTTTTATGAGAATAATTCTGAGTTTTGACAAACCTCTATAGCTGTGTAACCACACACCATTACTTCCAAGATAAAAATTCAATCACCCTCAAAACTTCTCTCTCACCTCTGTCTTCCTCTCTTAAACTCCTGATGACTACTGATCTGTTTCCTTTTGCCTTTTCTAGAATATAATATAAACTGGCTCATACAATATGAAGTATTTGTGTCTGGCTTCTTTCACTCAGTATATATATTTTTGGTACTTGGGAATCGAACTCAGATCCTTCTGTTTGCAAGGTAGGCAGCAGAACCACTGAGCTAAATCCCCAGCCCCTTTCACTCAGTATATGTTTATGGAATTCATTTATGTGGTTGTATTTATTACTAGTAAATTAGTTTTTAATCACAGGATAGTATTTCATTGTGTGGTTATACCATAATTCATTTACTCATTCACCAGTTCATGATCAGTTGAGTTTACAGATTTTGACAATCATGAACACCCATGTGCAATTCTTTCTACAGACATATTTCTCATAGGTAAATATCTTAAAAAGAGATTGTTGAATTGTATGGGTAAATTTGTTGTAATCCTTTTGCATTCCTCTCCATACCGTGATGAAGTTCCAGTTGCTCTGCATCTTCAACCATTTACTGTCAATGTTGTGGGTAGAGTCTTAGCCTAGTTTCCCTGTTTCTCACATTGTTAGTCCTTGTAGATTTGCTATTACATGACCAACCTCAGGCCTGTTTGCTTAGAGAAGAACATTGACATATGTGTGGGTCTGCTAACTGGTGATTCCAGGATAAAGGATAAACTCCAGTGTGCAGCTAATCATATTGACTGACTACAAACGACCATTGAGTATGGTGTTGCCTATACCCTCTCTGGACTTTAAATTCCACACAGGACAATGTTTTGTGATTCTCTTGCAGGCTGTTTGACCATTCAATGGAAGGATTTAAAAATTGGGAGTTCATGACCATTCATTGCTGGGGAGAACAAGCTGCTGGTGATTGGATCCTTGAAGTTTACGATACTCCCTCTCAGCTGAGGAACTTCAAGACTCCAGGTGAGAACTTTTCTTTCTATAAATAAATGTATTATATAAGAAAATGATGGAATGCATTTTGACCCAAGAGTGCTTCTCACAAGTCTTAGTCTATTTTGGGATATTATAACAAAGTATCAGTTGCTGGGTACTTTATAAAGAAAAGAGGTTTATTTAGCAACCATTTCTAGAAATTCAAGAGCACGGCACTGACATCTGCTTAGCTCTTGTGATAGCCTCATAAGTAAAAATTGAAGAGATGGATTGTGAGGCTATCCCTAGTGGGCCTATGATGTCCTTCAGAAGTGGCACGCAAAGGGACATAATTAATTTTGAGACAACACTCTTCAAAGCATGTTGGAGGATTTACTTTTAGGTCCAAAATGTGCTAGGTTTTAGAATGACTGATGGACAAGATGACCTGTAGTGTTACATATTCCATTGATACCTTGAGAAATGCCCTCAGGAAAGTTGGTTCTTCCTTGTTTTGCTGCCTCAAGGCAATCGAGGAGGATATTAGTTCCTAAATAATCATTCATTTCTAGCCACTACTTAATGTGTGCCATTTGGAATTGACCCCAAACACCACCCTGATTGTGAAAAGCATGGCCATTAACAAATGAGTGGAAGGGTAGGGGAAAGGTAATAAGGGAAAAGAAAAAAATATGACAAAATGAAAAAATGGAAATAAAGTGTTTGTAAATGGGGAGGGGAGGAGGGGGTGAAGGGAGGGCATGAACAAGGGGAAAAAAATGAGAACCAAGACCTGTCATGTAAAAGTAATTGTACTGTATACCTAAAATGTACCAATAAACTCAATAAAAGAAAAAAAAAGAGCAAATCACATATAAAACCAGTTGCATTGGCCCAATGCACATGTCAGAAAAAGATGAGTCTTTCATAGAATCTGGATGATCTTTGATTTAATGAGTGTTCACCTTAAGATTTCAAATTTATGATGGTGTGAAAGCAACATGTTTTCCGTGGAAACCATATGTAGAACTCTTGAGTTTTAATCTTTTCCTGGGTTAGTGTTGTGCAGGATAAGGACTCTCTCAAGATGCTGGCCAGTGGCAGTGAGCCACTGCCCCAGGAAGCCACACATCATGAGAATAAATAACTGGTACTCTGAGGTACTGTGTTGCCAGTGTTTTGTGGATATTGTGGTTTTGAATCCCATCATGTCCACAGAACACTCACTGGTGTGTATTTGTGAGATATTTGATGTTTTTTATAGGCTAGGCTTTGTGCTAGATAATTTTGCCTAACTGAAGTCCAGCATAAATATTATAGCTTATTTAGGGTCAACCTGGCTATGCTATGATGTTTGATAGCTTGGGTATATTAAATGCAGTTTCAACTTAAATATTTATAATTTATAGTGATTTTATCAGTACCAAGCATCATCATAAGTCAAGGAGCATGTGTGAGCTTATTTCTTTTTTAAATTAATTTTATTGGTACCTTTTAGGTATACTGTATAATGGCATTCATCGTTGGAAATTTGTACCTTTGCATAATATATCTTGGTTCTTATTTTTCCCCATTCCCCTGCCCTCCCTTCAACCCCTCCATATTTCCAAAGACTTTGTTTTCACTTTTTCCTTTTCTCCTATTAATTCCATTCCCTTCTTTCCTTTCCCCAGCCCCTCCCACTTCCCCTTCCTCTTTATACCTTTTCTTCCCATTTCACATTGTCTATTATACCGTTTGATCCTTATTAACACTTTCAGTTTCTCATATCAGAGAAACTATTTGATATTTATGTCTGTCCTATTTAGTTCACTTAAGAGTATCACCTCAATGTGCATCCATTTAGCTATAAATGCCTATAATTTCTCATTCTTTATGGCTGAGTAGTACTCCTTTTTATTAAAAATCCACATTTTCATTATCCAGTCTCCAGTTGCTGGGTAATTGGGTTGTTTCTATGTTTTAGCTATCATAAATTGTGCTGCTTTGAACATGGGTGCACATATATCACTGTGGTGTGATTCTTTTAATTCTTTTGGGAAGATACCCAGTAGGGGATTAGCTGGGTCAAATGGGACCTCTAATCCTTGTTCCTTGAGGTATCTCCATACTGATTTCACAGTGGTTGTGCAATCTGCACTCCCACCAGCAGTGGAGCGGGTTAAATATTAGGTTCTTCAAGTTATAGAAATGAATAGGAGACAGTTCTGTAAAACCATTTAAAGAGCTCAGGATTTGGATTGAGAATGGTTTCTAATATTAATCTACCCTTTTTACTGAAGTTGGGTAAGTTAGCAACTCCTGTGCCTCATTTTCCCCATCTGTAAATTGGGGAATGCTAGTCCTTTCCTCAGAGCTGCTGTCACATTAAATTGAATGAAACTTAGAAAACATTTAGGCTTGTAGTTGTTAGCATATAGTAAGTACTGTACTTAGAAGCGGTAGACATAGATTTACAGTGCTTATAGATGCTAATAGATGAAAGAACTGAGAGCTGAGGGTCAGTTGTCACTCTCTGTGCTAGCCCCTGACCCTTGCCTTGACCCTAGCCCTGTCTGTGCCTGATTCTATGTGTTAAGCCAAGGTCAGAAGCGTTCTGAGGGAGATTCTGCTTTCCTACTAGCATATTTTTAGATTTGAAATGGCTTTGCTTTAAATCACGTCTTATGGTCGATTCCTTTTGATGTGAATCATATTAAGCTTAATGGTTTGTAGGCAGTTTTCTCTTTTTCTTTAATTTTTCTGAAGCTAAGAACTAAATGGATAAATAAGGACTTAATGAAAGCAAAATGTTCCTTGTAATCCCTCCAAAGGAGGTGAAAAATCACTTTTGGTCTCGTGGCATTCTTGACTGGGAAATGCTGTTTTGCAGTGTTGTCTGGGAGGTCACTCTGTGGTGATGGCAGTGGTCTCTCTGTGCTGCCCAGTAGTGTGGCTGCTGTCATTGAGGAAGTAGATTTGTAAATTTTATTTAGTCTTCATTTGTTTAAATAGCTATAAACTGTACATCTAGAAGCTGTCATATTGCACAGCACAGTCTGCAATAGAGGTTATAAACTGGACACGGTGTGCACTCCTGTAATCCCAGCATTTGGGGGGCTGAGGCAGAAGAATTGCCATGAGTTCAAGGCCAGTTTATACTACAGAGTGAGACTCTGTCACCAAAAACTAGAGAGAGAGAGAAAGAGAGAGAATTTATGTAGTGATCTGAACAGTGAGTGGCAGATTAAGGAATTAGGTAGAATCGAGGTTTGTTTGAGCTGTTTGTTTTGTTTTGTCGTTTGTTAACAACTGGGATAATACCAAAAATTATGAAATGCCCAAATAAGACCTTTATACCTTCTAAAGAAAGCCTTCTAAAAAATTCTGGAATTCTCTTAATTATTCATAATTTTAAATTCAGTCTTTGATCCAATAATCTGAAGTGTGTTTATTTCCCAGCTTTCCTACAAATGCTGAGTAAATTTAAAAGATGCTGACTAAATCAGGTCCAATCCAGTAAGTGGGTGCTCCATGGTATATGAATTATTAAATAGTTAACTCTGTAAATAGTAGGAAATGCGCATAGTTAGCCTTGTATCTGATGCAATGTTTCCTTTCGATCCGCTCCCCTACTTTCTTCAACTGTTGTATGTGTCTATTTATAAAGGACGTAAGTTTTACAGCTAACAAGGGATTTTGTGATTCTACAGGTAAATTGAAAGAATGGTCCTTGGTCCTCTATGGCACCTCTGTGCAGCCATACTCCCCAACCAACGAGTTTCCTAAGGTGGAACGTTCCCGCTATAGCCGAGTTGAGGACCCCACGGAGGACTACGGTACAGAGGATTATGCAGGTGAGTGAGCCTGCTGGGGACACATCTTCAGAACACTTATGCATCAGTCCCCCATGTAGGGCAATATATAATTTAAATAATATATGCTATGATGGTAGATGAATTGTAATCTGATAAAGTTTATCCATTCTCCCAAATATTTGTGTGTACATTTTTGTGGGTTCATATATTCAGATATTCATATATATTGTCTACAAGGCTAATATTCCATACTACGATGATACTGTGATGTATTTAATCCATAATCTGATATACATAGTTTGCCTAGTTTTACACTACTTTTGAACAAGGTCTAGATACACATGGTTATTGAGTCTTTGTCTATGTCTTTGATTATTTCTTTAGAATAGAATTATCTTCTGAGGTTTACTGCCACAGAGGGGAAAATCAGTTGTGAGGCTTGGAAACATTCTGGCACATTGTTCTTCAGACAAGATGTACCAAGCCACACTGTGACCAGCTCTGGGGTTTTTATTACGCTCATTCTGTCCAGCATCGACTGGAAATGAAACAGAGAAGCTCTTTTCAGAAGCACATTTTTTAAGTTTTATAGCTTTGATCCTTAGTAAATCTAAACACTTTCCCCTCAGGTTCCCTGAATTAAATACAACTGTTTTTTACCCATTTTTCTATTCAAAGTAGCAGTAATTCTCTTACCTATTTTAGAAGAACATTTTGTATGTTCCTGTCTTTCCCATTATCTCATATTGGCTGAAAACATATTCTCAGTGATCACTTGCTTCCCAAATGTAATTTTTGTGTTGTTTTGTGATATTTTAACCGAAAACACTATTAGAGAAGAGTGCATAGTTACAGATATAACAGTTGCAGATTTTTTTTAGAGAAGTTTTATCTTTGATTATAACATAAGTATTCACATGCTGTTCTTGGTTTGTTTTCTACATTTGACCATTTAATTCATCTAGAACTTACTTTGGTTTAGAATATATAGTGTGAACTGAAGCTGTCCTTATTTCCCAATGCGATTAACATCATTGACTGAGTATCCTTTCTTTTATTGGTTTATGATACTTTCTTTACAGTATAAGTTTTTATGTCAAGATCTCTGCTAGTACTACCTTTTCTGATTCATCAATCCATGAATTCTCAAAACCACGCACAGTGTTTTGTTTTGTTTTGTTTTTGCTTTTTTTGGGCGGGGAGGATCAGGGATGTTAGCAAGTGGCCTTGTTCATGCTGAGCGTGCGCCCTACCACTGGGCTACACCCTCAGCCCTCCTGATGTATTAATATTTGTTGGACATCTGCTTCCCATTTCCGTAGAAATGATTGCCCTGCCATTCTCTAGATAAATTTTTAAATTGTTTATTAAGTGCCCCTTTAAAGTCCCATTGGAATTTAATTTGAATTTACATGCAAGCTCATGGGAAAAAATTTTTTTTTTACAGTACATAGCTTTTCTATATAAAACATATGTCTTGTCCTATTTTAGTGAAATCTTTTTAATTTTATGTAGTTTTCTTCTTGATCATGTTATACCTAAGTACTGGGACTTGTTGCTCTTGTAAGGGAAAATATTCGTACTTTCTGACTAGCATACATTGGTATGTAGGAAATCTATTGTTTGCTGTATTTTTCCAGTATATGTCCATGTGGCTTAACTGGCATTAATATACTGTATTCGTTTAGAGTTGGTTTTCTGGGTGGTTGAGGTACTGTATCACCTGTAGGTCATGGGAGTTTTTTTCAGTCCTTCTCAATATATTTGTGACTCCTACTACCTTGTTACATTGACTACAACTTCTAGTGCCACTGAGTCTTGAGATATGATATATAACTCTTAGTGGAGAAAGCTTCTCCTAATGGAGAACTTTGTGTAAATAGAAGCATAATGTACCTTCAGACAAGAAATGTTTGGTTACTGTAGTTCTGGAATTTTTTCTCTAAATGCTTCTTCATTAATCACCTGAGCAGAATATCCCTAAATATGCATTTAGTTCCTTTGTTCTAAACAGCCTTCCAGAATCAGTAAAATGCTTGGATAATTAGGACCAATGAAGCTAACTAATGCTAGAATGTATGAGATTTTGCCTTGGTTTGCCTTGAGCTTATAAAATGACTACTTATGTTATAACTGTCAACCATTATATCATCTTTGATAGGAGAAAGTGTATCCAAAAGCATAAAGGGATCACAATAGAAACCTATTACTTTTTTCTTCTTCAAATTTTAGTGGTTTCTAATTCAAATTTTGGTAAAGTTAAGGCACTGAACACAGCTGAAGAATTTTGTGGTTTTGCTTATTACATCTCCAAAACATTGATCATAACTATGAGAGAACAAAGACAATTATCTCATTATTATTCTGCAACCTACAGTGCTAGACTGCATCTGGGACAGTTTAAAATTATCAGAAAAACAACATAGAATGTGAACCTGCCATACAGAGCCCTATAGGCAAGAATAAATGTGTTTAGGATTTTTTTTTTAATTCTAGAAATCATCTGTTGAAAATTTAAGGCCACCCAAATTTAAGGCCATTCCAAATTTCCTTTGGAATTGTGACTTTTTACCTTCATATAGAAGCTGGCTTCACCAGAGGCACAGATGCCATGATCATAATGATACTCCTGTTCTGTTTCATTGAATCCCAGGGACCATGAGAACCAAAACTGGCTGGACTTCAACCCTTTCCCAACACAGCCATCCCTCCCCTAGTGGACAGCGGTAGACCGCTAATCTGCCCCAAGTTGTACTAGCTGTGGAATTTAATATACAGATAGATTTTAAGGCTCGTGGGAAAATAGGGATAAACAATGCTGTTAAATGACTCTTGCAGTTAATCAAGAATATATTTCAATTCTGCAGCATTTGAAATGACTTGTTTTCATTCAGATGGAAAGGTCATTTTGAATACCTGATTTGCTACCTTTAAGCAAGAATTCCAGACTAGATAGCAAGGCAGTGTTGATCCAAACCTTTCTAGCTGGATGATAGTGGGAAAATCACTGTTATTGCTTGGAAAAGCCAATCTTCTCATCAGTAAAATGATAACTGTTTGACTACCAGATTTTTTTCTAAGTCATTCCACACAGTTCTAAAATTTTATGCTTCTAGGATTAAGTAATGCTGGGTGTCATTCCATAATGTCTCAGGGAAAGTGTGGTCAATACTAAGTTGGATTCAAAACATTTCTGGTACCCTTAGCTTACTATTTGTATACTTTATGCAATTACTCCTTGATGGTTAAAATCTACGAATTTTCAGTGGGAAAGGCCTCGACGATTAAGGGACCATACATACCAAAATATAGAACCAGAAGGAAAGAGATAAATACTGTAAGTAGCCCATGTCAATAAAAAGTTTTCCATCCATCACAGAATAATTTTGTGGCATTTTTTTTTTCTGTATGCATTCTCTCTAGATCTATAGCAAAGAATGTATACAAGAGAAATTAGGAACCTTCATCCCAGGTCTGACATTCTTTTAAGCTAGCTCTCATTTTTACTTGTTTATATCATTTGCTTTCATAGAGTTTTCCACTGTCCTTTGGAATAGATGCAATCTTGAATCTATTATCTGTACCTTAGGTACCTGCTTTGTGATCCAAAACTAGATGCTGATAAGCTTGTGCCAGATGCTATAGTGATGTTTCTTCAAGCCACAGTATTACAAAAGTATTTTGGGGCTTTCCTGACCTTGGATAAGACAGGCAATTTAGTCTAGGCATCGAGTAATAAGCGTTTTTCTTCTTTTGTCAACACCTAACTTTTCATTGTCCATAAATCCTACATTTTGTTATGCATTTTAATTACAGGGTTTTTCCAGTTGAAATAGTCACATTGTTTATTTGAATTCTGAAATATTTCTTATCTCCCACCACGCAGCCATATGTGTTTTGAAGAATGGACCTTAAGTAGGTTTTACACGCTTGATACCTAGGTAATTTAGGTTTTCCTAATAAAAGTCAAAAGTGTATATTTCAGCTTATAATCATGTTGACCATTAGTTTTCTGTCTTAAAGAAACTGTCATTATATAAGGGGGAAAAATGACGCTATTCTGTACCAAAGTCAGGATCAACCAGTCCACTAAAATCCCTTTTTTCATGTTTTGCTCTAATCTCTTTTGGAAAGGGCCCTGTGATCCTGAATGCAGTGAGGTAGGCTGTGACGGGCCAGGACCAGATCACTGCAGTGACTGTTTGCACTACTACTACAAGCTGAAAAATAACACCAGGTAAGAGAGAGACCACATCAGATCCTGCAGCATGTCACTGCAGGCCCAGGAGTTCCCAGAGGACTAACAACACAGGGCACCTTCAGGTGCCACCATCTCCCTATGTCCCCCTACCAGGCCCTGAGCTCAGAGAATGTGCTATTTGCTCAGGCCCAATACCCACCTGTGTAACCCACAGTGATTAAAATGATGATGAGTTATGAAGTGTACATGTGCCATGAAACTGCAAACGTCCGTCTTCAATTTAGCTGGAGATACCAGCCTAGTGCTCTTCTCCAGTTTCCTTTTTTTGTGGTTGTTATTGTTGCTGTTGTTGTTCCATTGTTGCTGTTGTTGTTTTGTGGTACTGAGGTTTGAACTCAAGATTTTTGAACTGGGCTAACATTTCCAGCCTTTTTTTGTTTAAGATAGGATCTTACTAAGTTGCCCATGCTGGGTTTGAACTAGCAATCCTCCTGCCTCAGCCTTTCTCCAGTTCTTTCTTTCTTGTCTTTTTGTTTAAGTTAAAAATGTATTTATAATGTATAACGTGATGTTTTGAAATAGGTACACCTTGTGGAATGGCGAAAGCTATTCAATGTAAGCATTCCCTCGTGTACATATCATTTCTTTGTTGTTAGAAATTTTACAGTCTATTCTCTTAGCAATTTTAAGGTGTACTGTACATTGCTACTAACTAGTGACCGTGGTGATAATGGGCTCTCCCACTTAATCTACCTGTTTAACTGAAGCTCTCTGTCTTTTACACCCAGTTCATATTTGATGCTCTGGCTGGCTTTGCCTTCACGAAAATGCCAGTGCATGGGCTGGACTGATGCTTTCCCACAGTTCCCAGCATGCACAACACCCATGCGGTAAAGGTGCTGGTCCCTGCTATGCTCACTGATGTGTACCCTGAGCCGCTGGCTCCTGCCTAGAGCCGTGCAGATCAGTGCCTATGGGGCCAGGCCAGGAACCATGGACTGCCCAGTCCCAATACATCCTTCCTATCCCACAGCCCTCACACCCTGCCCACCTTCTCCCTTTTCTTTCAGACAGAAAGTCACCCTGGGAGCTGCATGCAGGACCACCATCTTCCAGCCACCTAGGCAGACCCAGTCAGGCTCAAATCCCTATTTAAGTCTGTGCTGGAATCTAAATTCCTTGAGGGAAAGACCCTTAACTAACTCACTGTCTCTATTATCTCTTGTATGTCAGCAGTGCCTGATGTTTAATTGTTGCTCAGTAAATATTTGTCAAAGAAATGAATAAATTAAGCCCTGTCTTTAAGTTGTGGTCAAACTTATTAAGAAAAACAGCTTCTCATAACCAACATAAATGTAAATATATTTATATTAATTTAGACTATGCAGGCGACCAGGACTGCTACCCACATGTACACACATAGGACCCATACAAAAGTAGGAAGAACACCAATTAGAGTGATCGTTTTTTGCGTGAAATCAGGGTTCCCATGTGTTTTCCCTCTGACTCACCACCCCAGGCATACTTTGGAGATTCGGTGTCTAACCATCCTTTCTTGTAACGCTGGACCTGAACTAAGAGATGGCTAGGATACTTCACTTGACGGAGGTGGTGCCCTGTAACTGTGTTCCTCCTTCAGTGCCCTGTGCAGGGAGGAAGCTTTAGCCAACAGCAGCCCTTTGAGTGTGTTGTTGGCATTCTGGTTCAGAACTGATCTCCAGGCTCAGGGCAACTGTTTGCTGACCCTCAAAGAGGATACTAAGGACTGAGTCACTGGTGATGGAACCTTCTTCCTTATCATTCCACAATGCAGGATCTGTGTCTCCAGCTGTCCCCCGGGCCACTACCATGCTGACAAGAAGCGCTGCAGGAAGTGTGCGCCCAACTGTGAGTCCTGCTTCGGGAGCCATGGTGACCAATGCCTGACCTGTAAATACGGTTACTTCCTGAGCGAAGAAACCAATAGCTGTGTTATCCACTGCCCTGATGGGTCCTATCAGGACACCAGTGAGTTGATTTCATTTGTGGGTTTTTTGGTTTTGGGGGGTTTGTTTGTTTTGTACCAGTGATCAAACTCGGGCCCTTGCGCTTGCGAGGGTAGGCAGTGGAACCACTGAGCTAACTCCCCAGCCCTCAAATATTCGTATTTTAGAGGCAACATATAGGATTTTCATTCCAATGATGTTGGGAGGAATATTCATTCTTTATGATATCTGTACATTGCTTAATACCAAATAGGTTCTAGCCAATTTATTTTAAGAGATTGTTTAGAAGCATTGCATAAAACTTCTTACAAGTAACTTTATCAGAGGTTCCTCAAGATCACACCCAGATTCAAGAATTGTTAGGAATGCTTATCAGACTCTGGATATGCTTGTACTCTTGAATGCAGTTATGATGTATTAAAGCAAAAGGATACAAAGTAAAATCAGCTAAGAGAAATGGCAAAGTCCGGAGGAAACTGGGCACAAGCTTTCAAGGGGAGTGCCCTCCCAGTGAAGACACCCAGGACACGTTTCATTACACTGATGAGAATTTGTGACAAATGTGTAAAATGTTGTCCAGTAGAGACTAAGTGCCTAGGCTTGGTACTGGGAGCTGGTCAGGTAGGCGCCTTGTGCCTGGCATGCACCAAAATTTCAGACTCCTAGAAAGAAAGCAAGTGTTCATCATAAACCATGTTGTTTGCACACAATTTAGACAACAAAAGCTTACTCTCATCAGTGATAGAAACCCTCTAATTTAGAAAGCCAAGATTCTAGTTGCCAGCTGTAGGCCCATTAAGCTGACTTATAAAGGTTGACCACAGGTAGCAGTTGGGCCTGCTCCTTACTGCGTACTCCCCAGCTGGGAACAGGCCTGTATGGTGTCAGAATATATGCTTTGGAAAGTTTAAAAGGCATGACTTTATTATAAAGGAAGAGTGAACATATGTTACAGGCATGTCTCTCTTTAATGAGGCCACATGTGAGATGGCAAATGGGCTCCAAGATGATCAGTTATGACAGTCTGCCTGGAAAGGCAAAATGAAACCTCTTTGCTGAGCTAGAGGCGATCTTGAATAATTTCCTACATGGCGACAAAACTAGAATCTGTGGCGGGGGGCATTTTGTCTAGAACTAATTTGCGACTTTATCCAACAAAGGCCTACGCTACAGCATACAACTTCAGAGTTTGGGCCCTCATCCACTCTACTTAGCAAACAAGCCAAGATATGTTGTCCTAGAGCAGTGCTGCCAAACCTGTGGCACACATGCCATAGTGGGCTTTCTGTACCATTGAGAGCTCTAAAAGGCTCTCCATCCTTGTCCTAGATAATTAATGATCTCCAGGCACACCTGTTAGCCCTGGATGACTCTGAGAAGGGCTGCAGATATCTTTTGTTTTATTTCTCAGTTCAGGGTAATTTGTCTTAAAAAGGCATCACACCATGGTATATATGGTATATATGACACTGAAATACTGTGTTTCTACACAACGCAACAGATGAGAAAACCCAAGTTTAAAAGAATAAGAGCTGCTTTTAAAAGAGCTCTTGCAAGGCTATACTTTCAGGAATCATTTCTATAGTTAGTTAAAAGACCTCTTGCTTCTTAAGAAGTGAAATTTTGTAATTCAAAAGGTGTTTGTGTAGCAGATGAGTTTTTCATCTTACCTTTGGAGTAGGGGGTAGGTATTGCTCTGCAGTTCTTATTTGCCCCAAAATTTGGAGTGTGAGCTATAATTTGATAAGGAAAAGGAAAACTGGGAGAAAGAAAATGGAAGGAGCATAAGAAAGCCAAGAAATACTTAGTATTGCTTAGAGAGTGAATTCAAAAATTCTATCAAGAAGGCTGGGACTTGGAAAAGAATTTTGGTTCTAGAATGTTCTATGAAAAAATGAAAATAATTGAGAGATTAATTTGTTTTCTTTTGGTGGGGTTCTGTGCATACTCAGCACAGAGATACACCCCCAGCCCTTAAGGGCCTAGTCTCTTTTGGAGAATATGGGAGATGGATAATTCAGGAAAGAAGTTCAATTACTTTAGCTACCACCTAGTATTAGCTCAAGTGTCTGTGTATCTCTCTCCTATGTAGTTGTTTAGCATTATAGTTTTCTCCTGTGAGGGCTCCTTTTATATGCCACATGGTGATCACATGTGATCGTGACTAGTAGTAATTACTGCCGGTACACTTACAGTTTGTATCATCCTCTTGAATAATTTCATTAATTCCTCAAGGCAAGGTGAAAGTGGGTATCACTGTAACCTCCACTTCCCAAATGAAAAAATAGAGACGCTGAATTTGCCCATTCTCAGTGCTAAAAGCAAAAGTCAAATCTTGGGCTTGTGACTTCATATCCTAGGCCAGTGACGGTCAACCTTTTAGAGCTTTCAGTGATACAGACAACCCACTGCGGCATGTGTGCCATGGATTCACCACCGCAGTCCTAGGCCATACCCAGTATTCTCAATACCACAATATTACCACGTAATAAATACCATTGTATTGTCAAGGGCTTAGTACATCCTGTGGAGCCCTGATGAACACCAACATTTAAGGACATAAAGGAAGAGAACATGTGAACAAAGTTTCATTCAGTTTTACATATACATTGGGAATACAATCTACCCGCATATCAGAGCAGATACCAGGTCCCCAGCACAAGTTTGTTGAAGGTAAAAGCCCTTCTATGATACACTGAATCACCATTTTTCATGGTAGAACAATCATGCATTGACTCCTTTTTTCCACTGTGAACCTGAATTTAGTGTTGAACAGGAAGACCATAATTCACAGTGCAGTTGTTCGAACCAATATGTTTCTACTCTACAGAATGTAGATATTATCAGAAATAGAATAGCATTTCTGTCAGCTCCACAGAAGCTCTAAAGTATGAGACACTATTCCAGACAAGGCAAGAAATAAACAGTGCTTTACCTTGAATCTTCACTAAGTTCCCTTTTCAAGTGCCACTTGTCAGAGAATCCTAAACGCTGTGGCCGTGGAGGGCTCCACCCTCGTCACAGCGCTGCAGTTCAGTCCTTCCAAAGCACCGCTGTTCAGCTCCAGGAGTGGGATTTTTCGTGTTGGAAATTAGGAAAACCCGCTTAGGAAAGGGAGTGGAAAGGTGAGAAAAGACTGTACTGCTCAGCTAAGAACTAAGTAGGCTATCGTTCTCTTGCCTACAGAATGGCAAATGGGTGTCAGGAATTTCCCACGTTAGTAGTCCATGCTTGTGTTCGCTTTACTGAGAAGTGATAACAAATGTTGATTCTTAGGCTTTTCCTAAAACTTCCGACTCAAGGCTGTGGGTACCAATACATTAGCAAACATTAGGACAGCTCCACATGCTTTTATGGAATCCAGTTGACCAACTGATTTATAACTGTGCTTCTTTTTTAAAAAACAGAAAAAAATCTTTGCCGGAAATGCAGTGAAAATTGCAAGACATGTACTGAATCCCATAATTGTACAGAATGCAGGGATGGGCTAAGGTAAGAGAGTGAAGGAGTTCAAATAACAGCCCAAGGAGCTTCTCAATGCAAACAAAATGGAAAAACTAAGAATAAATAATAGGACTCTTCCTGTCTACCCTTGGTTTGACTCCCACTGAAGAACTTGACTGCCATTTGCGTTATCTCTACCATTAGGTGTGAAAAATTGGAAGCCACCTTGGCTAAGAAAGGGTTGTAAACTAAATTCTCTGAGGACAAGTGAGTCAGGTACAAGTCAATAAAAATGATAATTTGAGAGGCATCCTTCATGCTTTTTGCCTGCATTGTATGGGTCAAAGATTTCTGTGCAAGTGATGCCAATGAATTAAATTTAATCCACCTGATTAATTCCTTGAATGGTGGAAAGTTATTCTCTTACCTTTATTATTTCTCTGCACACACCCGGTCATTCTCTTATCTTGAGTACCTCAGGCTTGGCTCCATTATGCTATCGTGTGTGTGTATAGATTTAACACAAGGAGAGGTCTGCTTTGAATGAGTGATTCACTCACTGTCAAAGTCTGACAGACGGTAGACTTTATAAGAGAACGGTATGCAGCTCAAAGAGACTTGGAAGCCTCTTGACTGCCATAGAGAAGACCAGACCATTCTAGGCTAAGTGAGGAGCTGGACTCTACACAGAGTTGGAATTCTCTCCCACTAGTTTCCTTCTAGGTTTTGATTGTGCCTTTATTACTCAGTCTTGGTACATGCTTTTCACTGAGGTTTATGATCTATAGTTACAGTGGGGTAACAGAAAGAAGGAAGAGGGCAAGGGTTTAGCTCAGTGGCAAGTGCAAGGTCCTGAGTTCAATCCCCAGTACCAAAAAGAAAGTTGGAAGCGAGATGTGGGCTCAAGTTCACCTCTGCTGTTTACTGTGTGATCTTGAGCAAGTCCGAATATCCATTTTCTCAAATCTAAAATGGTGATAATAACCCATATTTTGCAGGATTATGGTGAAAAATAAAATGGTAACTGTGAGGCTCTTAGTCTATTACCTGGTACATAATTGGCCCATCAAAAATAAAAGATTACTTAAATTATTTCCTTGATTTCTGAGAGAACATTTTACAAAGTTAAACCAGTGCATTACGATAAAAATATGAGTCATATATTTAATTTTAACTATGCCCGCAACCATATTAAAAGAAGTAAAAAGATACAGGAGAAGTTGATTTTAGTAAAATATTTTATTTAGCCTAATATGTCCAAAATATTATAAGTTAAGCATGTGACAAACTAAAAAATTGAATGTATTTTACATTCCTTTTTTGTCTTATGAAATCATCAAGCCGGGAATGTAGCTCAGCGGACACGCAAGTCCCTGAGTACAAAAAAATACAAAAAATCTTCAGAATCTGGTATATAAGTTCTTAAAGTACATTTCAGTCCTGACAATAATTTTTGAGAATTATCTATATTTGGATTTTTAAAAATCTAGTTGAGAAAATAGATCTTTAAAAGCCAAGAGGTCCCAAATGTACTCTAAAGGTTGCCAATAACTAAACCAAGTGCTAATTTCTCTAATTTGGACTTAACATTAATTAAAATTATATAAAATGTAAAAGTTGGTTCCTTGGGCTGCATTAGCTATGTTTTAAGAGCTCAGCAGCCAGCATGGACAGCACAGGTCTGACGCAGCCAGCTCCTCAGAGAAGGGTGGAGGCATTCCCGGGACTGCGCTCCTTAGTCTCTCAGAAGGCTTCCAGGGACCGCCCTATGCTGTGTGTCCCTTTCATTCATTTCTTCTACAGAGTGCAGCCTCTGTCTCTTGATGAACAGCGGCCAGCTCAGAAGCGCTGTCCTTTCTTGGAAAACCCAGGCAGCCTTTATAAAATGTTAATAAGTTCTCCAGTGGCCCTTCTGCCTCTGGGAAGTTCCACTGGATCCAGTGTCCTTTTTCTACCACTGCAAAAGGGGAGAGGTGTTTTCTTTACTTAAAAGGACTACTCTCTGGCCAGAAAGAAGGGCTGTGAGTGACACAAACTTCTGGTGAAACTGCCCTTTGTCTCCTCAAGGCCCCTTGCACTTTCCTAGAAACTCTTGGCCTCACGGGGCCTGTTAATTCCCAAATAGTGGTGAAGAAAAAAATGGACAAATATCTGTGCACAGCATCCAACAAGAAAATGAAGTAAAATGTCAACAGGAACTGTTGGGGATCTTTTTTTTTCTTTTTCTTCATCTACCCTAGTTTTTGTACCTTCCTATTTATTTAATGAGCATAGGAAGAAATCAATTAAGTTAGTACGATCCACATACAGAGCAGTCAAGTCAACTGAAACAACATAAAGACTCTGAAACTTTCCTGTGTTCCTTAGATACAATCTTGTAATACCATCAATTTGGTGTTGACATAGGATTACGTTTCCTCTGTTTCCAGTCACATTAGCTTTTCAGTATCTTAATATTCTATATTGTATAGTATAAATTCTGTGCGTTTATTTGTAATGTTAAGAATCAAACTGTAAGTTTTGGGAAATCTCATAGTTGACAGAAACTTAGGAGGGAAAGAAAAGTGTATATTTCTCATTTGACATTCTGGTAACTTATTAGATCCTGTCTCATTGTACAGGTGGAGAATAGAAGTTAAAATACATTGTAAATTATTGTATAGATAACTTCTAAAAATATTTTAACAAGTCAGGATACAAGCAAAGCAGCACTATAGGTCATTTTTCTAAATTCCTCATTTAAAGTGTCTTAAATGAATGCATCAAGAAACATAGGCAAAAGTGTATTTGAATTTGTGTGTGCACGGTGCTGGGAACTGAACGTGGGGGCTGATGCATGCTAAGCATATGCTGTACCTCTGAGCTATACCCTTGGCCTAGGAATTTTGTTGTTTTGATAGAAGCAATAAACGCTTAAAAATCAGAAACACCTAAAAATGTGAAAAGCTACTCCAGGGATTCTGGGCTGGGGCTTGGGAAGGGGGTTGTCATTAATCTTTGTATCAGTTGTAATTCATTTTACTATGTGTTTCTACAACATTTAGAATTACGGAACAACTTTTAAACTTATTGGGGAGTAATGCTGAATATTAGGGGATAAATGGACGTATTGTTAGGCAATGTGATTGTTTTGACATCCGATACTTTTTAGATTGCTGGATTGTAAGATCTATAGAAAGTAAGAGTGTCTGCCAGTCTGACAAGTTCAGGGCACTGTCCCTAAAGCTCACCAACATATGTATATGCTACATATCTCATCACAGTACAAAGAGGGAAACAGTAGGGTACAAGGCTACTTCCCTGGCTTTGAACCTCTCCCAAATGCACTGGTCTCTGAGGGTATGGTGTTTGGTACACGTGGAATTTAGTGAATCATAACCGCTCTGCCTTGATAGCAAAGGTCTGCTTACAGCTCTGTTTCCGTTTCTCCCAGCCTGCAGGGAGCCCGGTGTTCTGTCACCTGTGAAGACGGATGGTACTTCAGCGGCCAGGACTGCCAGCCCTGCCACCGCTTCTGTGCCACCTGTGCTGGTACCTTCTCCCAGTTCTGCTGCTTATTCTCGTGTTTCCAATTTTGTTCTTGTTTGTCTGGCTCCACCTATCCTTCATACAACCCACTTGACGTGTCTAAAGAAATTGTGGAGGAATCTGTTTCTCTTTTCATAATTATGCATGTGTTCTCATGCAAAGCCAACATCCTCTCCTCACTGAGAAACTTCAGTATCCCAAAGCCATCTTCTCTTTCCAAAGAGAGCGCATATTTTTAGCAGATAGGTTCAGTTTAAAATAGGAGGGGTTCCTCCCATGCAAGAAAAATAAGACAAAGCGCAAATAAAGTATGACACAAAATTGTAACAGATGAATGTCTTTTTCACAAACTGTTAGAGGCCACATATTGCAACCTCCCCTGAGGCTTGGTTTCTGTTTCCTGCATTTGTCTTGCACTGAAGGGGCAGGCGCTGATGGGTGCATTAACTGCACAGAGGGTTACTTCATGGAAGAGGGCAGATGTGTGCAGAGCTGCAGCATCAGCTACTACCTGGACCACTCTGCAGAGCCCGGGTACAAATCCTGCAAAAGGTAAGTGTGTCCGCCCCACAGCGTTACCTGCCTCCTTATAGGACTGCCTTTGTCACCAATGAGAAAATTTAGAATGGTAGACGAAGTTTATTGGCTTAAATTTGGACACCGCCTTACAGCTTTAACCTATGTATCTGACCTTTTTGGCCTCAGGAGCACCTTAAAGCTTTGAAAGTAATAGTTCTGCTTCAAATATATGCTGTATCCCTTTGACATCGTATGTGCCTGCTATGTTTTCTTTAATGTTGTCAAACCTAGCAAGTTTTGCAAAAAAATATTTTCATGCCCTCTTCAAGGAAAGGGATAGGGCTGGGGATTTAGCTCAGTGGGGCTGCTGCCTGCCTCACAGCGCAAGGTCCTGAATTCAATCTCCACTACCAAAAAAAAGAGAAAAAAGGGTTAAGCTGGATACATGCAAAGGCTGATAGTAAAAAGCACACCTTCTCCCGTGGATGATGGGATTAAAAGTTGTACATCTTCCAATAGATGTGACACCAGTTGTTTGACATGCAACGGCCCAGGATTCAAGAACTGCACCAGCTGCCCCAGTGGGTACCTCTTAGACTTAGGAGTGTGTCAGCTGGGAGCCATCTGCAAGGATGGTGAGTACAATTGCACATTCAGATCTTCTGAGCCAAGGGTGATCTTTCCACTTAAGACCCAATCCATTTCCATTTTAAAAGAAACTAACAAGTATGCATTAGATAAGGCCAGTCTTATATGTTATTGGCATTTACTCATCGTGAACCCGTGACTTAAGTGGGTTTTGTTTTGGTTTTCTTTTTATTACAAGAAGAAATAAATTACATACAGTCCCTCAAGCCAGTATAGCTTGTTAGTTTTTTTCTTTTTTTAATAAATTTTACTTTTTAAAGCAGTTTTAGGCTCACAGAAAGACCGAGCAGGAAGTCTAGAGATGTCCTGTGTGTTCCTGCCTGCCCACTTCCACAGCCTCCCACAGTATTGATGCGTGGTACCAGAATGGCACGTGTGGTACAGCACGGGAGCCTATGGTGACCCATCATTTTCATCCAAAGTTCAATAAGTTTGCATGGAGATTTGCTCTTGACGTTGTACGGACTATGGGTTTGGACAAAAATGTTATTCCATGTACCCACCAGTACCATGTCACACGGAACAGTTCACCGCCCTAAAGCTCACCTGTGCTGCTCCTCTTTCTTCTTCCGTTTCCCCAACCCCTGGAAAAAACTGATGCTGTCTCCATAGATTTCCCCTTTGCAAAGTGTCATACAGTTGGGATCAGATAGTTTGTAGGCTTCTCTGCTTAATTTTAATATATTTCTTTAAAATCCTTTTCCAGGGCTGGGGATTTAGCTTAGTGGTTCCACCACTTTGCAAAGACCCAAGTTCGATCCCCAGTTCCAAATTAAATAAATAAATAAATAAAATCCTTTTCTATATGTACATTTTACCAGATCACTAAAATACTATGTTCAAATAGTTTTATATTCTGCTTTTTGTACCAAACATTATGCATAAACAGTTTCTCGTGTCCTGTGTTTTTATAGCATCTTTGGAAATTTCATTTTTAATACCAGCATAAAATTCAATCATATGAAGATTATTATATAATTTATTCTACTTTCCTATTATTCATATCATTCATAGTTTTGATATGTAAGGAATAGTCAAACAGTATCTGAATCTTTTGTGAAGCCTGGAGGTTAAGAATTAAGACTCCAATCTTACAGGGAACAGAAATCTCCACAATGTAACACCAACAGCAATAGACCAAAGTAAGACTTCCAAACGTGAGTCTGTTTTTCCTTGCTTTGCACCAGTGATTCTCAAACAAGGTGCTGAGACTCTACACCTTCCCCACAAAATTTGATTGAATTGTCCTGGGGTATTGCCTGAGAGTGGGTATTTTTAGAAGTTTCTGAAGGATTTCTAACATCCACCTTGGCTTGAGACCCCTGCGCTGCCCCGTTTCCTGACAGTTTGGCAAAGCCCAGGGTCCTCATTAATCCAGCCATTTTCCTGAAGAAAGAGTTGAAATTACTCCATTCCAACATTTTATGTGCTTTGACTCTCCCTATAATTCACATTGAAGGGACCCTAAAATCTGTGCCTAAGCTTTGTGCAGAAAACCCATTTCAATGAGGTAGAAAGAAACTAGATAGTTACAAAAATAGAAAGCATGCCCTTAGAACAGTTTTAGTAATGAAAGCATTGTTTTAGGCTTATTTTTTCCCTTCTTTTGAATGCTTCCTCTTCCAAAACTCTCAAGTGAGACAGAACAGTTGTGTAGTTCGCAGAATACCATACAGACTTGGGAGTCAGAGTGTTCATATCTGGGCTCTAGACCTGGAGCAGGTTATGAACCTCCGCATACCTATTTCCCATGTCTGCACAAAGTGAAGACAGTGTTACTGACTTTGCATGCTTATTCCAAAAATCCACGCTAGGAATCCCAAAAAGCCTTTGGAAACAAGTGGGTGTCTGAGGGCTCGGATGGAGCACCACGGGCACTGCATGAGCACCACAGATGAGGGCATTTTCATGGCCTGCCTGATGTGTCACTGGTCCGCAGGGTTTGGGTAGATCCACTCAAACTCTGTTTTCAGAGTTTCTTCAGGAGAGCTTTTTTTTGGTACTGGGGATTGAACTTGGGTCCTTGTGCTTGCAAGGCAGGCAGCAGAACCACTAAGCTAAATCCCCGGACCAGGAGAGCTATTTTTTACTGTATCCTAAAGGGATGAGATACCTGAATTGATGGCACTCTGGGGACACATAAGTATCACCTTTTAGTTACTAGAAAGTGCCACTTTACCTTAACTGTAAAACATGGTTTCCTTATAACCAAAAATGCTACCTGAATTTTTGTAAGTCAATAACCAGAAAACTGAGGAAGACTTTTAAGTGACTGACACTGGATAACCGTTGTAACTTGAAGTTTTCACCTCTAGTACTTAGAACCAGGCAACTGAGGGTGTGTGATGATTTAACTACTTTTGCTCAACCATGGTAAGCATAGACGAAGTTGTACCAAATGGCACTTTGATAAAAGAGGATTGTGGGCAAAAGTAGATAATGAAGAACTATAATTTGCTATGAGTCCATTTTCAGGTCAGTTAAAGAACGAGGTTACTGATGATTCACCAGGCTTTTTCAGGTCCCATGGCACCTACCTTTAATGATGGGCTGTTTGTTTCCTTTCAGCTATCATATTTCCATGATTCTAAGACAAACCTTTTTTTAAAATTTTTGGACATCTTAAAATCAGATGAATCCTGTGAGTCTTAGTAGCTTATAGCTGCTGTTGATGAACAGGTGGGTAGGACAGAAGTGTCATTGCCTCCGTATGAGACTCAGGCACACTTCTCTTCCACTGAATTAAGCACATGGCTTCTACTTCTTGTGTGCCATTTAACAGCCGTTCAGAAGAGCTTCAAAAGTTAAATTTGTTCAGTATTCAAGAAAGGATTGTTGCATGAGCACAGAAATAAAACAATATTATTTAACAAGTGCTTTTCATAAGTACAAAATTATAATCGAGTCATTTTAATAAGCAACATTTTCTTTGCTCTACTTAAAACAATGGTGCATCTTTAACTCTGTGTCTTGGATTCAGTGAAATATGGTACACACGACTACTATATATTTTCTGCTCCAGAGAATTCTGAAAAGAAAAATCCCCAGCTTGTGTTATGGTTGATTTCTAACCTATTCTTTTTTCGATCTTTTTTTTTTTTTTCTTTCACAAATGGATCCCAATCACATTTCCTGTTGGACTGCAATATCTCTGCTTGAAAAACAATGCTGTTGACTGAAATCACTTTGGGTGGATCAAATTTCCTCCTTGTTGGCTGCTCCCGAATGACCTCCTCCACCCCCCACCTGCCTCTCTGGCCAATCAAAACCTCCTTCCATGTGTATTCACCATGCTGCTCTCAACCTCCACTCCCCTCTCTCTTGCTGACTTCTGGAAAAGCAACGGAAGAGTCCTGGGCCGAAGGAGGCTTCTGTATGCTTGTGAAAAAGAATAATCTGTGCCAGCGGAAGGTTCTTCAACAACTTTGCTGCAAAACATGTACATTCCAAGGCTGAGCAGCCATCTTAGATTTCTTTGTTCCTGTAGACTTATAGATTATTCCATATTATTAAAAGAAAAAAAAAAAAAACAAGCCAAAAAAAAAAAAGCAAGCCACCTCTCTCTTTCTTGCTATCTTTTTTTCTCTCTCTCAAGTTTGTGCAGGGAGATGGTGAACTGTTTTGTCAGAACTTAAATGGAAAAAAAATAAACCTACAACAAGCCTACCTTTTATAACTGGGTGTTTAGTGTTAAACAGCCAGAACCACAGAGACAGTATTGTATGACCAAAGTATTTGATGCCAAAATTTGACTTTAAAGTAATGATTTGATTTCCTGCCCTGGGTTCAAAGGTCCATTTTTTTTTCCTTTTGCATTTACTTGCTTGTTTCCCTTTTGAGATGCCTAAAAATGTTTTTCCAAAACATCGCAGAAGCATATCTAGATCAAAATATAACAGAAAGCTCTGCATCAGTCATTTTTCATGCTTGAGCTCACCGCTGGGGAAATGCTAGGAAACTGAACCAGAGGGCATTAAGAACAGCCACAGGGTTGTGCTCAGAGTCATTTGTCTTAGTATTTCACGGTTAAACATTGATACATTATTCCACACATGATTTCCTCCGTGCATTATGTACTGGTTTTTGCATTTTGCTCACTTGATAAGCCTGCTCCACTGGTTTCATCAGATAGACTTGCTGCTACTGGCTTTTCCATTGTTTTTTCCATTGTCAATTAGGTTATTTTACACACAGCTGGTGAAATGTTCGATAGAGTCAAATTAGCGACGGAAAGAACGCAGAGGTACCTGAGGAGCTGAGACTGACCCAGCTCCCCGGAAATCCAGCGTGTTAACTTGGTAGACCCTGCACAATCTCTTGGTGCTATCTAGCCTTTATCCCCATAGCACTGTTTTTTTAAAGGCCATCAGAAGTTCCATTTGTCATAATGGGAAGCATTTGGGATATGATGCAGGAAATTTCTTCCTGAAGTAAAAAGTTTCTAAGAGGTCTTGTATTTTTAAAGAAATGGAATTTATTTAAGTAATATTTAAGCTCGTGCTCGTGTTGGCCGGGCAATGTTTTTCAATGGTGCTTATTAGAATTTTTTTTTCATCTTGTCATTTTAAGAAAATAAAACTGGAAATTGAATATGGGTGGCATGATTGTACCCTCCTGGTTCTATATTTTCTCATTCTTCTCTCCTATAGCAAGGCCATGCTCTTACATGCCTGTCCCCTGAATGTCATTGAGATTATCTGGGGTTTTTTGTTTGGGAGTTTTTGTTTCTTCCAAATTTCTTCACTGCTTTTCTGTGACTCCATAAACATTTCATGGAATCTAGTAGACTGAATTATGTGAACTGTTTTGGATCAGTAATGAAACCTGATGAATCTTTTTATAGTTTCCCTGTTTAGGGGAGAGTAGATTGATAATCAGGTTTTTCCATTTTTCATATCAAAGCTTCAGTGGCCTCGTTTGCTTTGGGAATGACCAGCCATCTTGCAGGCTTCAAGCTTTCAAGAGCTTTAATTCCAAGATGACACTG